TCTAAAATTTAGGGCAAAGTTGGCAATGCACTGGCTTGTTTCTCCTGCAGAAGGAGGGAATTCTGGTTAATGATTAAAAAAATAACAAAGGACCTCTTTTAGGAGTTCTAAGGGAATGACCCAATAAACAGGACCACTACAGATCATGATAGGAGCCTTTTTAAAGGATACGAACAATGATGACAAGGGATAGTGCTTTCCAACCTTTCCCACCTTGTGACACACAGAGCATGAAAAACATCAGGATGATATGTGGAGACATGGTCCAGAGGTGATGGCCTCTCCCCAACCCAATACTGAGGGTAGGGTTTGAATATCTTGGGGGCTCCCCACTTGCCTCTAAACCATCCCAACCAGCAGCCAGTCATCGTATCATCTGCCCACAAACTGGCCTTGGAACAAGTGCCAAGGGCTGGGGCCCGCCCAGCTCGGTGCCGAGGCTGCCGGAGCAGCAGCAGCTTGCCCAGTTGTTATTTTCCAGTGCGGCATCTGAGAGGGATGGAGTGCCCTCCTAAGCACGTAAACAGCTCCTGAAATCTGGGGTAGGAGGGAGACCTCTGATTGTTTCTTTCCTGACCTGTGCCTATGGAATCTGCAGCTCTCGCCTTCTCAGGACGATTGCCCCCTCAACTTGGGCAATGATTCTTCTAGACCTCTTACTATGTGCTAAAGCCCACCTGCTCTGTGCAGGCTACGGGGAGGGGAAGGGGGACCATTAGGAGAGCAGGAGAAGCCAGATGCCTCCTCCCTGTCCCATCTAGAAAACAAACACTAAAAGGGACTGTTGGGACCTCATCTGATCTCTGCAGCAATCCAGTGGAGAAACTGAGGGCCCTAGGTGACTCCAACAGCTTTGCAGCACTGCCCCTTCCCCACTCTGTGATCCTAGGATCCTTGTGTCCCCAAACCATTCAGGGGTCTTGGATGATCAGTTCAATTGTGCCTAACTCTCTTGCAGTAAGGGAATCCCATTCCCTCCTCCTTGAATCCTCAGCAGAATGGCGAGGCCCATGGCAGACACTGGATCAGAAGTCTCAAATGTGTGGGCCTCTAGTCCACCCAAGTCTGCAGTGTGCTACCTCAATTCCTCCTTTGTACAATGAGACCTACTTCAGAGGGAGGGGATGGAATGAGATACTCTATGTGCAAATGTCTGTAAACATCTTGCCAATATCCTTAGCCTGAGTTCTTACCCCTCCGAGCTCCTAGACAAACACGCACATGAAAAACTCCAGTGTCTCTAGATGCTCAGCAAGCCCAGCCTGAGGACTGCAAAACGTCCTACTCCGGCCTGGCTCCCGATGATCTCACCGTCCCCTGCATGTCCTCTCAGGGGCAGTGAAAGAAGTTCTAAGCATGAGTCTCTGAGCAAAGATCAAAGGAACAGGGATCATTCTGTGGGAAAAATTGTCTTGTCTGCCCCCCGCCCCCCATAGAGTGTAGGGCCACATCCCCAGGGTGAGCCTTTGCAAGAGTGAGGCCAGAGGTGCTGTCCCGTTTACATCTATGGTTTACATCACGTTTATTGTTTATGCAGCCCTTTAACAGTCACGGCTCAGGTGAGCCCGGGAACCAGCCTGCCAGGAGCCCTGCAGATAATGGATCCCGTGGAACAGATTAAAAGCTCCACTCACCCGAGACTCCTGACTCCAAGCCCAGCTCTCCTCCAGGGTCCAGGCTGATTGTGGGTCATTTTGATACATAAGATGGACAGATTCAGAATATCCCTTGCCTAAGAGGTTTAAAATGAGAACCACTGGACCCTGTTGAAGGTAGATACCACCGAGAGACAGAGGGTGGGCCCAGTGACCTCAATGATGACCTACTGCAAGAGGGGAGGAGTACATGGACAGTGTGCCAGATTAGGGGAGGGAAGTGATCACTTCTGGCTGGAGAGGTGCACCCCCATCCCCCACCCTCCCCGACTGCTCAGAGCCCCCCGGGGTTAAAGCTTTCCTGGGGCTCCTCCAGAACCAGGTCCCAGCCGACCCGGTGCACAGGGTATCAGTTCTCATCTGTTTTTCTTGCTATTTTCTCCTTGGTGGGAAAGGCTGAGCCCAGGACCTTGGCTTCAGTGGGGCAGGTTCTCACGGGGGCTGCCTCCCAGGATCAGGGGAGACACTCACCTCTCCTTACATGTGGGAAAGGGAAGCAGAAGCATCCATGAGATGGAGATATGTGGAAGTGACTCCAATACTTGGGGATATCCCTTCCCAGTGAGGCCCAAGTCTTCCCCATCCCAGGTACTGTGCTAGGAACCAACCAGAGAGAGGGCCACCCCAGGAGGGCTCAATCTCAGACCATAGAGACAGGAAAACACCAAGTGGGCCTGTCCTCAGGCCGGCAGGGCAGACAGCTCCTTAAAGCTATGACAGAAAGATACAGGCGTCTTCCTCGAGATGCAGAGTCCCACCATTACAAAATGCCCCTTTAGGGTAAGGACTTGCCTTCTCCAGGCATATTTTTAAAAAGCAAGATAACACCATAGGAAATTAGTGAGTATCTTCTTATTGGTGAGGGTAACATGAAAAGTTGGGTCCCTGGAACAATAGGGTTGCAAAGACCCCAAGTAGGAAAAGGACCACTGAGGAAGGAAGTGGAAGGAAGCTTACTGTTGAAACTCTCCATGATGAGATCTGTAGCTCTGTGTTTTAATGGGACAGGGCAGAAGTCACTGCTTCTTCCCTGGGCTCTGGCCAGGCTTCCATGAGAGGAGGGAGATTTTTGAGGCTAAGTGATGGGGATGGGGGGTGCTGAAAGGCAATAGTTAGCTGATAGGTATCAATAACATGCCGATGACAGAGAACGTTCCTTGCTGCCTTCCATATGGTGGGCGGGGACCATGTAGACACGATTTCACAGATTCTTCAGCACAGCCCAGAACAGCAGCTGAGACTCAGAGGGATGGGGAAGTGTGTCCAAGGCTGCTCCACCGGGAAGAAGCAGAGATGGGATTTCTAAGACTGAGGCGTGTCCATGTCCAAAACCCACACTGAGCCAGCTCTGCCTCTCTGGAAGATGGAAGATGAGGGAGGTGTGCACTGTGGAGGGAGCCATGGTGAGGGTGGGATGGCTAACCTGGCCTGCTCCAGGGAACCTCCCAGACCAAGTAGTTCTGAGGATGCCACCATACCCTGCTCTGGAGCCTCCTCTTCCCCAAAGCCATCAGGCCCACTTCCTGCCCAGGTGTTCAGCCACCTGTTCTATTCCCACTGGGGCAACCGGGCAGTTTGGGCTCTCTCTCCCTTTCAATCATTAAACCGATACTCCTTAAACACCTTGCAGGTCCAGGAACTCAGCGCTAGGGTTTGGGAATACAGAAGAGAACAGGTTCTCATAAAAGTACCATTCTGAAGGCAGAGAGACAGACAATAGACATGCAAACAGAAGCACCAGAACATTCCAGAGTGAAAAGATCTATCAAGTGGCTCCGCAAGGCACTGAGAGAGGGAGGGACAGGCAGAGTGGGCTGCCAACTTGGGCTGGGTGAGCCAGCCCTCCTTGCTGAGAAGACAAGAGCCGAGAGCTAAATGATCACCAGTGAGCAGCCGGGCAGAGAGCCGGGGCAGAGCCTCCCAGACGTTCCCGCCAGGTGAAGGTGCTGAGGAAGGACGAGAGGGCTGATGGGGACAAGGCCCAGGGGTGGGGGCAAGAGAGAGGCTGTCTCAGCCAGAGACCTGGGCAGGGATGGTCACCGAGGGCCACAGAAAAGGTTCTGAGTGGAGGAGAAAGCTGTTTTCAGCAAAGGAGGGATATAATCTAATTTCTGCTTTAAAAACATAACTCAAGGTGCCACATGGAGAATGTGTGTAGCAGGGAATGAGAGGAAGCAAGAAAGACAACGCAGGCCATTTTAGCCTCCCAGGCAGGAGACAAGGGCCAGGAGCCCCAGCGGGCACAACGGACAGCAGGGAGAAGGGTGTGGCTTCGGAACATATTTGGGATCAGGAGAAATAAGACTTGCTTTGAGTGTGAACGCCTAGGAGAGGAAAGAACCAAGTCGTCTGGGATTTTTATCCTGACCACTAAGCAAGTCTCCCTGCCCTCGTCCCCTTGTGTGGAACCCCATTCTTCTCCTGGGAGACACACACTGTCCATGCAGACACTCCTGTGTGTGCCTATAGGGGACACTCTCCCCGCTCAGGACCTTGGCACCTCCTGCTCATCTCCTAGGGTGTCCGGGAGGCTAGTTCTCCCCTCATTCAGGTCTCAGCACAGATGCCACCTCCTCAGAGTTCCCAGACCACCCTGTAAAACTGGTCCCCATCACCCCGTGGCTTCATGCCATGTTTAATTTTCCTGATAGAGATGATCTCACTTTCTGGCTCGCTATATGTGTATTGATGCATTTGTATCTGTTTCTCTCCACTAGAGTGTAAAAGCTCAATTAGGATAGAGCTTTTATTTTGCATAATCAACTCAGCATCCCAGTAGCTATTTGTTGAATGAATAAATACTTGTAAAAATGGATTAATGAATGCAAACATCCCTTTATTCAGAAATGATTGACTGAGGTGCTGCCACGTGATACAGCTCAGAGAGTCAGAGATAAGGACTAAATGATAGCTGCTCAATTGGAGATGGTCAGCTAGACGGGCATGGTCTTGACCCCGGAGGCAATTACAGTGTGCTGGATGAGGACACTAATTCCCCACTGAGCTGGGAGCTGCAGGGGATCTCATGCTGAATCAAATAACTCTTGGTCCCCTGCTTAGGTCCTGTGACCTACGGCTGCAATGATGAGGACCTCTGATGAGAGATGTATACAAGTGCCACCAGTCTAGCAGCCAGCCACCAACATGTTACAGCAGCTGTGAGCCCCAGCATATTGAGAGACCAGCAGAGGGGCTCCCCAGTCTTCCAGCCTGCAGCCCAGAAAAGCCACATCTCTGTGTCCTGCTAGATCCCAGCAGCAATGAGACCGCCCCAGCTCCTCATTGGTCCTTTGCCTCATGAATAGTCCCCTTTCATGAATGAGATCACTTCCATTTGGAGGCCCAACTGTGCACAGAGGGGTGGCCTCTCCCTGTCTGTAGCCTCAGAGGAGGGCTCTTCCTGGACACCACTGGGGACTGATTTTTAGGCTGACTCTGAGAACATGAGCAATAAGCTTCCTTAGAACAGGAAAAGCTCACAGGACATCAGATGAAGAATGTACCACAGGACCCAGGCTGGTGAAGAGGTATTTGACTGGGAAAAGAGGAGGGTGCCGTGGGAAAGGGTGGGCATGGAGGCCTTAATGAGTGGAGCCACTGTGTCGCTACTTGAACAAGACTGGAACACGCTGGTCCTGAAGCTGTCTGCCCTTGGCTTTCCTTCCTAGCTCTGCCCTGCACTATATCACGGAAGGGCTGACCCCTGCAGGTGCACTTCCCAAGCCCCTGGGTCAGCTGAGTCCGTGGGAAACACTGAAGCACTAGATGAACAGGGACGAACCTCTCATTGACTTGACCTCCCACCAGAAGGGCCCACCATGGGTCCAGGCTCCAGGAACAACACGCCTCCTTTGGTCCTTCGGCCCAGGGGCAGATTCCTGTTGGGGTCAGGCTCTACGGAACCTCCCTGCCCAAACTGGTGTCTCAGCTGCTCCATCCCCTGCCACCAGTTCCTGGCATCAAAGTTGTGAACACCTAAAATGATTTCTGTGTTCCTTGTTGGACCCTGGAAGTTCAGGAGTGAAGTCCCAGCAGGAAGAATTGAGCCCAGGTGTCCCAAAGACCTCCCTGCCAGACCTGTGGGTGAGCTGTGAGCAAGGTGCCCAGGCCCCTAGATGCAGAGGAGAGAAATGGAACAGTGGGTGTGTGAAGGAGACAGTAGGTTAACGTGCCCCATCGGCTGCTGAGACCAGGCTGGGGTGATAGCCCCTGTTTGCTACCATCTGCTCCTCACCCAGGTCCTGGGCGGGACAGAGGGTCTTGATCTTCCTGCAGTCCTGCAGTCCTGCAGTCAGTCCTGCACAGGCCAGAGCCTCCATCTTTCCTCCCCTCGCCCTTGGCTGAGAGGAAGTGGTATTGGTCCCCCTCCTTCCTGCCTCTCTTCTTATCAAGGATCTAGCCACTTGAAACTGGAAACTTGGATCTCAAGGCCAGGGAAGTAAGGCTTTCAGACTATTAAACTACTTCCTGCAGAGAAATTCTTCCTCCCAAAGGAGAACAGGAAACCAGATACAATCAAAGGTGCTCGGCACACTCCAGGGGAGGGGCCAAATGTTTAATAGTAACGTTGCCCAGGGGAGTCTGGCTCAGGGGCCCAGGGCTGGGGGCAGGATGTCTGGGGCCTAAGAACCTTGCTCACTCCTGACCCTGTGACGTCACCCGTCATCTCGAACATCGGTGTCCACTGATCCCCCAAAGAGGGGTCAGGTCAACATGGCCAGGGCCAGCCCACAGGGCCACAGAGAGGAGGGGTGCATTCTGAGCCACTTGAAAGAAAAGAGCTGAATAAACTGATTAGGTCATTAGTGTAGTGGGCCTTGGAAAGAGCTCCTGGTCACTTGTTGGGGGGCACACAACCCCACAGCCTGGTGGGAAGTATAATTAAGTTTATGTACATGATGCCAAAATGGCCTGTTTTCTGAGGAACCTCCTGTGTCCTCCCTCCTTCCCACTCAGAGCCCCTCTCTGGGTGCTGAGAGTACAAAGAAGAAACACAGCCCCGGCCCTAAAGGAACTCCGGGTCTGTGGGGGAGGCCCAGCCTGACATGCGAGTGACATATGAGGTGACACATGTTTCCAGCAGCCACCAGCAAACCCCAGACGCCAAGCTCACACAGCAAGTCCTGAGTTCTGCCGCAAACCTCGGGGTGAAGCACCTCTCCTCTCCAGGTGTGCCCTGCCACCCCACAAAAACAGGTTTGGGCTTGTGAGTGGTTCTGATTCAGAGGAGGCCACCAGGGACAGGGTGTAGGGAAAGGGACCTCAAAGGGGAAGGCACATTTTCCAGGTATAATAGCCTATGACCCCCTTCCTTTCCCCTGGTCTAGAACATACCAGAATGTTCCAGGACGACACCATCAAGAAAGAAGCCCAGGTGATGCTGAGATGCAACCACCTCCTTCCCCAAGGCCAGGTACAGTCCCCACATCCTGGTGGGGGTGGTCCTTGAAGAGGAGGGTGTCTGACCTGCACAGTAAATTCAAGAATTGGACCCAGGCTTCAGCACTGCAGGCCTCCAGCTCTCAGGATACGGCTGGGAAGGAGAAAGAATCAAGGCCAAATGGCTTCACCTGCCACGGGGACCTGTTTCTGACTCATCTAGTGGGCGGAAAAAAACCATCTCATCTGCACACGGACTTAGTGACCTGTGAGCAGCTGGTACCACGAGGTCTCTCTAGGATGACCACGCTGGTGAGAAGGGCAAAATTCCTTTTCCAGCACAGTGGAAAGGCCTGTCACCGTGGGGGAGGGAGTGGGCCGGGTCATTTGGCTTCCCGGAGGCCTCTCTGGCTTTGGCTGAGTACAGTCTCTTCCAAGAGGCAGCAAAGAATCCTGGAGCCCAGTTGGCACATGGGGAGACCAGGGCAGGAAGGAACTAAAGAGGCAGAATTCTCCCAGCTCACAGAGCAGAGGGGGGCCCATTGCTGCCAAAGTTAGGACTCCCAAATGAGGGCAATCCTACCGTGGGATACCTCAATGTGGCAGGGGTCAGGAGTCAGGATACTTTCTTTTTTCTTTCTTTCTTTTTTTTTTTTTCTTTTGGTTCTGGGGACTGAATCCAGGGACTTAACCACTGAGCCACATCCCCAGTCCTTTTTTTTATAATGTTTTATTTTGAGACAGGGTCTCACTAAGTTGCTTGGGGCATCGCTAAAGCGCTGAGGCTAGCTTTGAACTTGCCATCTTCCTGCCTCAGCCTCCCAAGCTGCTGGGGTTACAGATGTGCACCATCGAGCCCAGCTGGGAGACACTTTCTGATCCAGGAGCTGCCTTGGGCGAGACCCTTCTCCCATCTGGGGGCATCTGCCTGGGCTTCGTCCATCTGCAGGATGAGGGATCGGATGGGACACTTTCCTGGTTCTGGCAGGTCACGTTTCCTTATTCTGCGATGTGTGGGCCCTCCTCCAGGGAGGGCTGAGCTCAGCACAGGCAGAGGGAGGATCACAGAGAAACTCCCCTCACCTCTGTGCAGCTTGGGGCTGCTCCCCAGGAGGCAGGTGCTCCTCCAGGGACCCCATGCTCTCTGGAATGCGTGTCCCAGATGAGGAAGATGGGGAGCAAGATGGAAAGAAAAGAGAACTGGATATCTGTTGAGTGAACAAAGGAAAAGATGAACGAATGAATGAAGCGTGCTGTGGAGGAAGCCTCAAGTCCACACCAAGGCTCCCCCCATGAACAGCTGTGGCCTTGGTCCTGGAATGAGTCTCCCTGCCTGGGCTTTGTCCAGGGCACACTGGGAAAAGAAGAGGGGGAGGGGCATTGTGAGTTTATCCAGGGGCTCAGCAAATAGCGCCAGGGACCCAGGTTATCACAACAGAAGGGCGCCTCCGATTCTCTGAAACACGGTCAGCTCTTAAAGAGACACCAAACGGGTTACAGGACATAGATAAACAAAAATGACTTGTGCTGCACTTTGGAAGGCCAGTGTCAGGGCTTTCGTTTCTGTTTTGCAGCCGGGTCTCCCACTCAGCTGGCTAGGACTGCAGTCAGTGCCCTGATGTGTCTTACTAAAGTCCAGGGTGGCAGTGGGTGGAGGTTTGAGAACTTACTCAGCACAGCACTGGGACCCCCGGCCCCCACCATGGGGTCCCAAAGAAGCTGCACCTTCTGGGAATCTCTTGTTCAGTGGCCAGCATGGAGGATGGAGGTGGGGGGCAGACTCAGGGGAAGCCAGGTCCTTCCCCCACCTCCCCCCTGAGCATCTGGAGGCCCTTGCCCACCACTGGACTGTAACTCACCCACTCCCACCAGTCAGTCCAGCCGGGGTGGAGGCCCTGGGAGGAAGGGCTGCTCTACTGTGAGGAGGCAGCTTCTCTTACAGGACTTGTTTCTTTCTCTGTTCTCACTGCCCTGGGCTGTCAGGCTCCCTAAAGCTCACAGCATCTAGCCCTCTGTTCCGGAAAAAAAATTGACAGATGGCAGGATGTGGGAGGAGGACAGAAAGGACAGAGAGAGCTCTCCACCTTGGAAATCATTCCAAAGAAAGAATCCACACCCATCCTCGGATCTCCAATCCAGACCTTGTACTTCTACATTGGAAAGTCCTTCCCAGTGTCTAAATCCAATCCCTTCTGCTGCATCTGAACCCAAGGAGAGACCAGTCCTGGGACATGGAAAAAGTGCAGTCTTATTATTCTCCCAGCCTCTGGCTGTTCTCCCCAACTTGCCACCAGGTCAGTGGGGTTCAAAACTCAAATAATAGCAGTTGGGGGCTGGGGGCATAGTCCATAGGAGAACTCTTGCCTAGCATGGGCAAGGCCCTGGGTTCCACCTCTAACACTGCAAACAAACCAACAGCCCCTGAACCCTGGTCCCCAGCAATTTCTGATTGTTTTGTCCTTGTGAAGTCCTCCCGATACTTTCTCTACCTTGTGTCCCAGCACATGCACACTTGCCCAGCCCCACAAGGAACAGGCATTTACATGAAGCCCAGGCTAGGCCCAATCCAGAAACCGGCCCTTCCCGGCCAGCAGCCACCCAGGGCGAGCACACGGAAGCATGCAGCAGTGGCCTTGGGCCCCACCAGCCCACTGCATCTTCTCAAGCCCCGCCCCCAGCTCCAGGGGTGGAGGGGCCCAGATGCACAGATGCAGCAACAGGTGGGGGGAGACGCCCAGGCTCACCCAGGTGGATGCAGGCAAGGCTCAGGACCCCCTTCCCAGGGCAGCCGGCAGCAGGAGATGGCACAGTAGAGCCCTGGACTGTGGTGGGGACGGACTCCTTCCTCCTCCCTACATCGGACAATCAAGAAAAAAATGCTGTTTCCCTCCCTGAGGGCCCAACTGCCAATACCTCAGGACAAGGACAAAGCCCAGTTCAGTGTCGTCTTCTTAGCACTCCCACCGAGCCTGGCACACAGTAAGCACCCGAAACAACCATATAAAATGTTCAATCGGGATCAAAGAGGCAGAAAAAGAGGAGGAGAAAAAAAAAAGAAAAAGCACCATGAATCAAAATCAGTCACAAACATGGCAGACAAGCCACCTACATCAACAATCCCTTTCCGTGTGCATAAGGTAGGAGGGAGGGCAAGGGGAAGCCGGTCTGAGGCTTCTCCTTCATCTGAACAATATCCCTCTCATCAGGTAGAGGAGCCCCAGCCCAGCCCTCACAGATGAGGGACGTGCTATAGAATTCTAGAGAGTTCCATTTGAAATCCTGCCCTTTTGTCCAGCCCCAGTATCTCAAGCCATTTTTATCTGGCAGTTCTAGCAAGAATCTAACCACACTTCTTCCTTCTGCAGGACCAACCCCACTCCTCATTGTCAGGCTGGGTGGTTCCCTAGGGAGCAGCCTACCCGCCACCTCTTTCTTCTCCTCCTCGTCCTTCTCCTCCTCCTTTCCTTTCTCAGAGGTGCCCTGTCATTTGAACTGAGAGAATGGAGCCGCGTGGTAGCTGCTGGCGGCATCCCAGAGCAGGGGCCTGGCAGGGCAATTTCTCTAAGGGCTGATCAATAAATTCATTTTCAGGCACTTCTTCCACTTCTGCAAGGCCCCATAAATCACACCCACCTGCCTCGACCCTGGGTGGGGGAATCTCACATGATGATGTGCGTGGGGGAGGAGGAAGCTTATTAAATCAGAGCTTTTTTTTTTTCCATCCACCATTCACGAAAACTTCAAAGTGTCGTGCTCAGAGCTGGAAAAAGAAAACAGGGACAGCCAGCAGTAATGGGCCTTGGGGGACTCAAGCAGGACACGCGCCACAGCCACAGGAGGCGAACAGTGAACAGTGGCAGCAGGGGACACAGGCCGAGGCTACCCTCCCCAGCGGATACAAACACCTCAATCTGGGCCATTTGGAAGGCCCCAGCTTTCCAGTCGCACAAAGACCTGAACTTCCACGCTTCTCCCCCTCTCCCCGTCCGTCCTATGTGGCTGGCACCCACGGTCTCCAACATGGCACACTGGTGGGCCAGGGAGGCATGGCTCAAGGCAACAAAATACTGCCACCGGCTTTTGACTGGCAGAGATGGTCTGGGAGTGACTCACACTGACGTGTCTGCAAATCACATGGCCTCTAAGAACCTCAGTTTCCTCAGCTGTAGGGCCGCTCTGGGCCCCACCCACCTCCCAGTGATTCCACGGGTACCACTGGCCGTGGCTCTTACAGTCTCCCCTCCACGCTTCACCACCATCCTCAGACAAGGGTTTCCATCTCCTCTGCACAGAGGTACCTGGGGCCTTGCCCAAGGGCAGGCACCTAGGGGCTGGAGTTGAAGCCCAGGAACTGCAGCCCAGGCCAACCTCCTGTTATGTTTTTAGCTTGTTTGTCTCATGACCTTTATTTTTAGTTTTATTGACAATGATTGTATATGACTATGGGGTGTTAAGTGATTTTTTTTTTTTAAAGAACCAGGGATTGAACTCAGGGGCGCTCGACCACTGAGCCACATCCCCAGCCCTATTTTGTATTTTATTTAGAGACAGGGTCTCTCAGAGTTGCTTAGCGCCTCACTTTTGCTGAGGCTGGCTTTGAACTTGCAATCCTCCTGCCTCAGCCTCCCAAGCTGCTGGGATTATGCCACGGCATCCATCGAGTGACCTTTGATATATGAAAGCATTCTGCAATAAGCAAGTCTCTACATTTGAAGCTGTTCAAGTGAATCCTAAAGCAGGGGCTTTGTGTTCATGCTTGGATGTTCCCAAGGGGCTGTGAGGAAGCTGAGGGTCCACTCCCCAGTGTCCTTTATGGCCTGAGTTTCCCAAACTCTAGTGTCTATATGAATCACCTTAGGTCCTTTAAAAATTCAGATTATGAGTCAACAAGCCTAGGAAGGGGTGGGGCTGGGATTCTGCAATTCCAACAAGCTCCCAGGAAATGCCAAGGCTGCTCGTCCTTGACCACACACACAGAGTAGCCAGATCCAGTGGCACACAGCCCAATATCTGCACAAAAGTAGCTCTCTCCACCCTTGTTTGGGGAGGAGGGTGAAGGAGGAAGCCCAGAAAAACAAAGGCATTGTCCCGGATCGTGCAGGAAACAGGAACACAACAGAGTCCCGCAGCGTCCATCACACATCCATCCATGTGATCTACTGCCCCTAATGGAGAAACACCTCCCTGGAGCCCCCGTCCAGCGCCGGCTACTGAACCAGGGTCACTCGGGTGAATCTGGGGTCACACGAAATGACCACGCAGACACGGGACACCTTTTTCTGGGCATCAGGATGGCTTTCCCGGCTCCCGGCCTCAAGCTCCCACAAAGGTGAGGGGGGCGGTAGGAGAAAAACGAGAGGCCGGCGAGAGAGAGGGGGCACCTTCTGAGGCTCGGCTTTTATTTCCGGGGGGAGCTAATCCATGGAACATTCTATCCAAAAAAGGGCAAAAGGGTAGGATTACAAGAAACAGGTGGGTGTAATCCAACGCCATCTGGTGACGCCCACTCCCAGGGCTGCACCTTTCCTATCCCAGCGGAGGTCAAGTCCACTTGCATGGCAATGGGTGCAATACCAGTCCAGGACCTCTTTTCTCAGGACTTAAAGGTGTGTGCATAGCTCCTGTTCAGGGCAACCCCCCGACACCTCCCCACATGGGGAGAGAGAGTCTGGGAGCTGGGCAGCAGAAGAGAGAGGGCCAAGAGGCTGCCCCGCAGCTCTACAGTGCATATCTCAGTACCACTGGAAAGCACTACAGAACCATGCTCCTGCTGGAGGCCCTATCAGCTGGCAAGGTGAGGAGGGCAGGTTATGTTCTCCCATTTCACAGGCAGGAGAACTGAGGCCCAAGGCTGTGGCTTGTCTGGTTGTGTTTGAGCTAAGACTGAGCACAGTGTTCCTCCTGTGGACATGGTGTCCCTGAGACCCACATTGCACCATCCCAAGACCCTGCTGGGCTGCCCCTTCAGCCCACCCCCACCACTCAGCCCCGTGGGCCTCGTGGGATTATTTCTGTGAGGCTAGCAACACCTCCTGATTTAGCTTCTCCTGCACCTGTGACTGAGGCAGCTGTGTAAATGAGCACACGCAGGCTCTAGGGCTAGAAAGAAAGTAGGCAGGGCCTAAAAGAAACCAGGCAGCAGGCCAGGCCAGACTTCTCAGAAATCTCAGCCTTCTTTAGGTGCACCAATTTCTCTTGCTATCTGCAAGATTTTGTCTTATCTTCCTTTTGGCCTAGAAGATCCCCAAGGACAGGGGCTATGGTTCTCCACAATCTGGAAAGCCCTGCGGACAGTGGCCTAGCACAAATAGCATCCACCTGGTTATGTGGCAGGGACACATTCAAATCTCAGTTTGGCTACTTACTAGTTGGGTAATGACTTTGAAATTACCTTATATCCATGGTTCTCTATGGTTATATTTGTAATGGGGTGTTGACACCACCAGGCTTGCAGGACTAAGTAAAATCAGATATGCTACCAAAGAGGTCACCCAACGCTGCAGCTGACATCAAGGAGCTACTCAACACACTAGTACTCCCTCTTCCGAAAGACCATAAGGCTTCCTTCCTAGAGACCCACTGGTGCCAGCCTCAGGGCCCCCAGAGTTGCTGGAAGCAGCAACCTGCTTGAAGGGAGCAGTTACTGGAAGGGAGGTGTCCACCTGATATTTCGGAGGCAGGTGCCCCAGGCACTACACCCAGAACAGTGGCAGAGCACACTGTCATCTATTCCTAGGGCTTTCTGCACCTCCTGGCCCTACCAAAGTCACTTCCCCAAGGCCAGCCTACCAATGGCAGGCTTGGCGTGCTGGATCAGGAACTCTCAAAGCCACACTGTCCATCCCAACCACAAGAGAGACAGACACACACCTGCACGCCACCACCCAGCCATCCCCCTCCCTCCCACTGAACAGCAGGAAGAGGAAGGAACGAGCTCCGTGGTCCTGGAGGGAGATGATGGGTTGGTTACACATCTGTTCTCACACACATTTCTCTCCATGATCCCATGAAGCAGATGTCTTCGGTTCCATTGGGCAGATGTGGAAACTGAGGCTCCAAAAGAATGATCGAGTAATGGCAGAGCCAGGATCGGGGGATGAGCTCAGCCAGCCTGAATCCACAGCCCATGTGTTGCCCCCGCCCCCGGATGCACTGTGCCTCCCTCCCTCTGCCAGACCCTGCGGGTCCCCATCATTGGATTCTTGCCAGCATCCACCCAGAGAAGTCAGCCTGTTTACTGATGAGGATGCAGGTCCAGAGAAGGCGAGGCGGCCAGTCCCAGGACCAGATTCAGGCCTCCCGGTTCCCAGCCGCAAGTCTCCCTGTACCCAGGAGAGAAGTGACCCTCCCCAGTTTGGGTGGGGGCTCCCTGTCTGTGATTCTCCTCACAGGGGTTTCTCTTGACCATTTTTCTTGGGGTCTTGACTGTGGGCTGAGAGCAGACCCAGCCACACGGCGGCAGGACGTTCAGGGCCTAGGGAAGTTCCCCTCCCTGCAAGGCGGACTTCCTCCTCACACCCAGCCCCTACACGGAGGTCCCGGGGCTGCAGGGTCCTTGACAGCACAGTGCCAGCCTACCCTGGCCACCACAGTGGCGCCCTCCCCACTCCAGCAGTCTCCTGCTCCTGTGTGCAGGTCGCCGGGGCAGGACTGCCCTTCTGTAGGTCCCATGCTCACTGGTCGTGATGGCTCCTCTCCCTGCAGCTGGGAGCCGTCCACAGCTGCCGCAGGTGGTAAGCAGCGTGGCACGCGAGGGAAGAGCTTTCTCCTCAAACACCGGCTCCCCTGCCAAGCAGGCAGCGCCATCTGCTTCCGGACCCTCCACTCCTATCTCCCCAGAACAGCTCCTCTGTCTTTCAGGTCTCTCCTCCACTCACATGTCCCCAGTCCTGTGACCCACATCAGCTCCTGCTGTCCCCTCAGTGCCAGGCCATCAGGCCAGCCCATGGGCAGTGCCTGGGCTGCAGACCGGATTCATACCCCCCACCCCACCCCCAAACACACACACCCCCAGAGCCAGTGCTGAACAGGGAGGCCATTCACCCTTCCTTCCTGTTCCCAGACAACTCTTAGTGGCAGGAATTGGAATTATGCCCATTGTATAAACACAGATCCAAGACCCAAGGAGGTAAGTGATTTACCCAAGGTCGCCCAGCAGGTGTTGAAGTCAAGGCTCAAATACAGGTCCTTTCATTCAATCACACAGTTATTCATTCGCCAATTCTGGTCACACTTAGCAGCGTTACCGTGAGCGAGTTGTTAAACCTCCCTGGGCCTCAGATTTATGTGTGGAAACGGGAAATGTTATACTATTCATATAAAATACTTCTAGTGCCTCTTCATAAAATTGTGCAAGGACTGAAACAAGACCATTCATGCAAGTGTTCTGCATGGGCCCAGCAAGTCCTGGGTGCTGAGAGCCACCCTATATCACTCAGGGATTCACTGAATACCAAACGCACTAAGCAACCGACTGGATTCGGAGATGAATAGCTCACATGGCTCACAGGTCAGCTCAGTTTGAGAGAGGCATGTTTTTTTGTTTGTTTTGTTTTGTTTCTGGTACTGGAGATGGAACCCAGGTGTGCTCTACCCCTGAGCTATATCCCCAGCCCTTTTATTTTACGCTGGGACAGGATCTTGCTAAATTGCCCAGGCTGAGTTTAAACTTGCCATCCTCCTGCCTCAGCCTCTTGAGAGTAGCTGGGATTACAGGCGTGCACCACTGTCCCTGGCAGGAAGAGCTGTGTTAAAGAGGAGCACAGGGAGGAGTGGGAACTTCAAGACAAACAAGGAGGGCTTCCTAGAGGAGGTGCTGTCCAAGCTGAGGGCCGCATGTTCAAGAAGGAGGAGGAATTAGACTTTTCTCATTCTTCTCAACTCCAAGGCCTGGATAGGCTAAGAAGTGGCTGGCCAGGGGACAGGGAAGTGAGCCTGGATCACAGGTAGAAGGAGGCATGGGACTGAGCATCCGACTGGCCTGTGTGCCTGCTGTGGCCTCCTGCTAGCACCTGTCAGTCTCCCCTGGGCCCTTGAGGACAGGACCGGAGTCATGAGAAGTACTCATGGACTTGGACACGTAAACTGTGTCTCTGTGTCAGGGAGGAGGGTGAGCGCTGGGTGGGACACAAGCAAATTGGCTTGGCAGAGACTCTTGTCGGGACCCTGGAAATGAGGGAGCAAGTTACTGGGGGGGCAGAGAAGTGGGTGAGCAGACTGAACAGGCGGCCTAGAGGCCTAGAGTTACTCTTTGACATAAAACCAACAGCAGTAGCCCCCTGCACATGCACGTGTGCACTCTCACATACGCTCACGTGAGCCTGTGTGAACACACACCTGGGAGTAGACAGAGGTGGGGGTGATGGTGGGGCTTCATACCTGCATACCCCTCTCTTCCAGACTGTGGTCATCCCCGGGGGGCCGACAGTGCCCTGCACCCTGTCTGCCTTGCTGTATCACAGTCCCTAATGTGCGGGTGGGGCACTGTTGTCTATAGGGGACCATTGGCAGGTGTCTGTGGAGCACAGCCAGTCCCCAAACACACCGAATGATTTCCTGCCCAAGACAAGTTAGAGCTGCCAGACCCAAGGGAGCCCTTGCTTCAGCAACCTCAAAGGCCCGCACCCATAGAAGCTGCCCAGGACGAGTTCCTGGGAGCACAAGGGCACCAGAGAGGGCAGAGGACCCTCACCACCCTTTGCCTCATACAAACAGTCATCATGGGATGACAGGGGACGGGGAAGCTGAGCTGGGGACCAGGAGGCCAGGATCCCCACCCTCTAGCTGGCTGGGTAAGCCTGGGGAGCCCTTTGCCTTCTGTGCTCCAACCTCTAACTCGCAAGGACGTGTTCACCGAGTGGCCCTTCCTCACCTGCCCTTGCCCCATGTGGGCAAATGTGAAGACCCAACTGATTTTCCAACCTGGCCCCATTCTTCCCCTCTACTACCTCCCTCCTCCAGATGAGCCTCTTCTCCTTCCTGCATTAATTAAGACACTTACTAAGTGCCAGCCAGGCACGTGTTAACCACTGGCCCTGGTGAGCAGGACAGTGGGACGGACCCCACCCAGCCTTCTAGTGCATGCAACCTTGTTTTGACACTGACCTGAACCCAGGGGGATCACAACAGTCACATAATGTTGAGTCACAGAACATCAAATGGTAAATAAAAAAAGAAGCTTTGCATTATTTAACAATAGTAATGGCCCCTGTACTGAGCGCCTACTATGCACTAGCCCCTGGACATCATCATTGCTAAGCTTCACAGCAGGCCGAGGAAAGGAAGTATTAAGAAACCTATTTTACGGAAGAGGAAATGGAAGCACACAAGTGCTAAGTAACTTATCCGAGAGAGAACACAGCTCTAAGTGCCTGAAGTAGGATTGTGCTGCAGGTCTGTCTGGAGAGACTGCTCTTACTCCTCATGTCACTTAGACACCCTCGTAAGACATGGGGAGGGAGATGCTTTTTCTGGAAGGCAGATCATTAAAAATATCTGAGTACAGGAGTTTTCTTAAACAGACCTTCCTCTTTCCTGTCCCCAGGAGGATCTTTGGGGAGCTACTGGTCCTGCCTGCCAGAGCCCTGGATTCCATGGGGACAGAGAAAGGGCTGGGAAGCCGCTCTTGGCCAGGGGCGGGGAGCTGAGAACTGGAAGCCAGGAGGCGGTAGGCAGTGCCCACGCCATTGCTGCTAACTGCACTGCAAAGCTCTCTGCTCCACAAGGCAAAGGAGATGGTTTCTGTGTGAAAGGGCTGCTACAAGGAGGCCGGAGTGACAGGGACACAGCAAGTCCCCAGGCCAGGCTTGGGGTCCCCATGCTGCCTGCCATGCCATTGGGATGGATTAGGGCTGGTATTCCAGCTGCCTGCTTAGTGCCAGACCACTCTCTCTGCTACATTAGCAGAAACTGGGCCACTCAGTGTCCCATGGCAGCTGTGAGGGGACCTTGATTGCTGAGAGGGACAACCACTATACAGGGGTCAACACAACCCCCGATGCAGACCATCGGGTGGGCTCCAGGGACAGGAAGAAATAAGGCACACTGTCCAGGACTGGGCTACTGAGGAGGAGTGGAGGCTTGGGGTAGGGAGTGGGCCCTCACTGTCCCAGAAGCCACTGTCTCCCAGGCTGAATGGAGCCCCTCAGAGGGCAGGACCCCCAACTCTGCAGTCTCCTTTGTTTGGTGGAGCCCAGAGTCACACATCCTGACCTCTGCCACCCCAGTCTAAGGAAGCCAATGGCCTCCTGAGAAGTGAGGGGGAGGGGAGCAGATGGAACAGCTGGAGGTGCACAGCAAGGTTGCTGGAGGTTTGAAGGACACTGTCCTTGAGACCATGTGAGGCAGGAGGGGTCCATCTGCCCAACCGCAGGAGAAGGAAGGGAGAAGGCCACCAGTGACCCTGCTGTCACCTCACCTCCATTGTGAACCTCACAAGTCCCAAATCTCTCAATTTCCTCTTCCTTCCCCATCTCCAGAAGTGGCACCACCCTCCACCAGGGGCCATCCCACTAACCAGAGAGTCACCTGTGAGTCCTTCCCTGCTCCACACAGCCAGTGCATTCATTCCCAGCTGGCTCTCACTCTACCATGTACGAAACCTTGCCTGTCCTGTCCTTGATCTCCATGGCCTGTGTCACTGCCCCCCCCCCTCTGGCTGTCCCAGTCCCAACGCGCCTCCCTCTGGTCCTCTCCTAGCCGCTGCGGTCAGTCCTCACACACGGGCAGGCTGATCTTCTCATGCAAGTGCGGTGAATTACCGATTGATTTTTTTCAAATGTGAAGTCACTCTTGCATACGCAGAAAAGCCATTTTGGCGGTGATATATTATCCTTTTTATATCACTTGATTTGATTTGCTAATATTTTGTTAAGGAATTTGGGCCTTTTTAAAATGTAATTTGAATTATGACATTCCCTGCTTAAACCACTCAGAGGCTTCAGTACACTCAGAATAAAATCCAAACTCTTGACCATGAACCACATGGACCACAAGGCCCTACCTGAGCCCTGAGCCCTTGTGGGTCCCTCCGGATGTCAACACAGGGTTTTGGAGACACCAGCAAAGAACTGACACAGAGAATACCAAGATGGTTTTCTCCCTCAAATTCTTCCCAAATGATAATTGTGCCTACCTGCTTGTTGACAGGTCTATTTACTGTCTCTTAACTAGTCTCCAAATTCCATGAATGCAGGGACCGAAGTCAACTTCTAGACCCTGATAAGATACCTAATGGCAGCAGGAATCTGGTGCATCTGAACTGACAAAGGACGAGCCTCCTGCCCTCTCCACGCCTGCATCTGCGTAGTTGGACATGGCCAGTGATAAACACACAGCCACATGGCTGAGTCTCACTTCCAACTCACCGCTGTGAGCTTCAGGTGGGCCCTTCATGCTGCGCCCAATTAGAGTAGACTTCCCGAGACTAGTCACTCCCCACTTCCTACAGAATTATTTCACACTTGCTCCTTCCCCCAATACCTCCTTCGGTACCCTCCCTCTCAGCTGATGACCTTGCTTCCCTCTTCACTGAGGAAGCCAAAACAGAAGAGAACTTCACCTCCAGCATCTGCACCTCGACTTAGGCACACAGAAGAGCCTCTGGGGTCCATCCAAGGCCAACCCCACCACGTACACCTTAGCTCCCCACCCTGCTAGGTTACACGTCACTCTAGAAATTCTCTATCATTAGTGTTCCACTGTCCTCTGAATATTTCAGCCAGCACCAAACATATGAAACACTCTTCTATCTTACACACACACACACACACACACACACACACACACACACACAGCAAAATGCTTGCTCCCCACTGGTCCTGACTGCCACTGCCTGATACTTGGCTCTCTGCAACGAAGTTCCTTGAAAAAGTCATCAAACCAGTGGCCTTCAATCTATTCCTCTTCCCTTCTGAACCTTCTCCAATCAGACTTTGTGGCCCTCACACTGCATTGACATTGACATTGCTCTTATCTAGATCACCCATGGTCTGGCCTCCCTGGGTGATACCTCTGAGTTCTCATCTCACTTCCCTGTTGGTGGCATTGGAAATAGCTGAGTTCTCACCCCATTTTGATGTACTTTCTACACTTGTCTTCCGGGACCACACTTGGCTCTGGGGTTTCCTCCTACATCTGGGGTTCATCTTCAATGTGTTGGAGCATCTTCTTCCTGCCAGCTTCTCAATGCCTGGTCCTTGGTCCTCTTCTTTATCTGTACTGTGTCTCTTGGGGATCTCACCCAGCCTTGTGAATTTCAACCCCAGCTACATGCTAGTGGCTCTTACATTTATATCCCCCAGGCCAGGCCTCTCTCCTGAATTCTCTCTTCCTATATCCCACTGTCTGCTCAACACGCCACTGAGGGATCTGTGAGACTCCAAGTGCAACAAAGCTAAGTCTGAACGCCTTTGCTTGCTTCCCAAACCTGCACCATCTGCAGCCTTTCTCATCTTGGACGATGCCAACTCCATCCTCCCAGTTGCCTCGGATTGAAAGTGGTCACGTTGACTCTTCTTTCTCATATTCAATCTATAGGTTTGTTCCCACATCCAAGCCAGAAGCAAAGTCTTTGGCTCTTTCTTCAAAATAGATCCAGCATTTAAACAAATCATAGTGCATGCATTCAT